TTTTTCTTATATAACAGAAACAAGATATCTTACTTCGACAACTTGACCAGATGCAAATTAATGAAAAAATTCAATAACTTAAAAATTAAACATAACAAACAAGTTGAGACTTTCCATAATATTGACACGAATAAATGGATCGTTAACATTAGTAACAGACAGATCCCCGAAAATATTTTAAAGATGCTAAGTCTTGGTAGCATGTTCGGACTACCTGTCAATTAATACAATAGGAATGACCGATCAAAAATTGTCTTAGATGTTCTCAAAAACTTTGAACAAAATAAGCACATGATCGATGATGACAAAGTTAACGAAGTGCGCTGTCTTGTTTCAAATTCTCTCCATGATTTCATAAAAACAAACAAGAAATCTAATTCTGTAGATAGATACATCTTATCGCAGTTTTCATTATGCAAAAAATATCTCACTAACAACCCTGACATTCTGGTTACGAATGCTGACAAAGGTCAGACCACTGTCATCATGGATAGACAAGACTATATTATGCAAATGAAAGCCTTGCTTAACGATCAGTCTACATACAGAAAATTAAACAGAAACCCGTTGAATAAAATCACCTCGCAATTAAACTGTTTAGTGAAATCATGGAAGAACAACGGTATTATTGACGCGAGGGCTTACAATTTTCTGTACTGCACAAACGGTAACCTCCCCCGTTGCTATGGACTTCCGAAGATCCACAAGGAGGGCTATCCGTTACGCATAATTGTATCTGCGGTTGGAAGCCCTCTTTATAATATTGCCTTATATCTGCATAACATTCTGAATAAAGCAGTTGTGAAGCCGTCTTCCCATGTTAAAGATAGTTGGTCGTTCGTGGAGAGTATGAAGCAACACAGCATCCCCCCTGACCACGTCCTGGTCTCTCTCGATGTCGTGGCGTTGTTCACGAACATACCCACAGAACTTGTTCTGACTGGAATCGAAAAAAGATGGGATGCGATATCGGGAGAGACCCGTATGAATCTGGACCAATTTTTACACGCTATCAGAATGATTCTTAACTCCACTAGTTTTTCTTTTGACGGTGAGTTCTACGAACAGATCTTCGGTAGTCCAATGGGTTCCCCCCTCTCGCCTATTTTAGCCGATATCGTTATGGACGATTTGGAGACTTGCTGCCTTTAATCCTTTGATTTTCATATCGAGATTTTTCTTCGTTATGTCGATGACATTTTTATGTGCATTCCGCAATCGAAACTTAATGAGGTTGTCCGTACGTTTAACAACTATCATCCGCGTCTCAAATTCACGTATAAACTCGAGAAGAACAACACCCTGAATTTTTTAAACACGTCTGTTTTTAGACACGGCAACTGTTTGTTCACCAACTGGTATCGAAAACCAACGTTCTCTGGCAGGTATATTAATTTTTTCTCTAGTCATCCTTTGAAATACAAGATTAACACGGTCATTAATTTGGTTGACCCGGCCATACTATTGTCGGATGAACAGTTTCACGATGAGAACATCAAGTTAGTGAAAACCATATTGTCTAATAACTGTTTTCCTGACCTGTTTGTGAACAAACACATTCAAAGAAGAATTTCAGAAATTAACAAACGATCGAATAATGAGGATAGCGTTAGCAACAAAGACAGTGCATTTACTCTTGATCTGAAAAATTATGTTCCCATCCCCTACGTAAAAACTTTTAATGAGGGATTACGCCGTACGTTCAAAAATTACGGTTTGAACACCTTGTATACGGTCCCTAAGAAAATAGATACACTAATCAGGAAAGGGAAGGATAGATTGGAGATCAAGAGATGCACTGATGTCGTTTATAAACTCGATTGTTCTGATTGCAATGCATGTTATATCGGACAAACGAAGCGACATTTAGAAACGCGTATAAAAGAGCATCGCGCAGATATCAAAAAACCCCCCAACCAACATTCGGTCGTCAGTAAGCATAGAACAGATTGCGACCATAATTTCAAATGGCAGGATGTTACAATCTTACACAAAGAACAAAATTTAAAAAAACGTGAAATTTCTGAAATGCTATTCATTAAAAAACATAAAGGGGCAATCAACTCACAGAAAGACACTGAAAACCTACCATTGGTCTATGATCGAATAATTTCTTCACTTTAAGTTCTCCTTCTATGTTTACTGTATTTTGCGATAATGTA